AGACCGGGCAGGTGAGAATGGTGGGGGTTCCAGAGTCACACACAGACTTGGTTACCTTGACGTGCGGTTACTAAGAGCATGGAAAAGAAGCCAGTGTGACCTACGTAAGCCCAACTTCCCGCGAGACTTGAGAACAGGCTTCGTCCTGATGCTTTCATGGCAGCGGTGACCCGAGAAAGCAGATTACACTCACGTTTCCTTTCTCATTGATCACACACTCTTAAAAGGAAAGATCTTTTATTTATTTCTACCCTGCCACATTCAAAAAGGTCTTGAAGTAATTCTAAGAAATGACAGGGGACATGGAAATTTTTTTTTTTTTCATTTTTAAGGTTCATTATTTCTTTTTTCTGGTTACAAAAGTGAAACCTCATTTTGTCTTTGGGAGCCATGGAGTATAATTTCTAAAAGCAAAATTATTTTAACATGAGATTTTACTTCCTACTCTAAAGAGAACCCATCACTGATTTAAGATCTACTCATGATACTGGAGCGGATTTTTAAAATCAACAAAAAAGAAGTAGTTATTTTAAAGAGAAGAATAGTAGATGAGCATGAAAAATCCATCACCAAGGCCATTACTATGCATTTTGTCAAAGGAGTTTATGTAATAAAATAGAAAATTAATGCTTCACAGAGATAGGAGCATAAATCCAAGAGAGGAAAATGGAAGAGAAAACTGTCATTCTCCTAATTCAAATAAAGAAAAAGATAAATGACTGAAATCTGTTTCAAATATTAGAAAAAATAAATGTAAATGATTCAAATCACCATTAGTTTGTTAGTGTCTCAATCTCCAAGATGCTGCCAAGATCACTTACAGCTCTGCCTCAGAATAAGCAGCTAAATTCAGGGTAAAAAGACAAACAATCCTGACTTCGGATTGCACATTTCACAGAGAATTCAGAAAGAAATTACTGCAAACGTATAACCCCTTCTGTCCCCTAAACGAAATGTTATGAGACAAATGTAAGACAGACATAATGGAAAGTGAATAAAAAGAATGATTATAAGGTGTCGACAGTGGGACCTCATGAAGACAGAATGTCACAAACTGTCACCACAGGACAAGTGTACAAGCCATGCCACTGAACACAGTGCCTTTCGAATGAATTCACTAGTGTAGACGGAGAGCAACATTGTCTTTGCAGCTGGAGGAGAGCACACGTGATTTAACCCCGGCAGGAGGCACCAGCGCTCCTGGGGGGGTGAGTGGCTTTCCGGGTGGTGTGACTCAGAGGGATCCGTGGAGACGTCGTTGGGGACCCTCCTCTTGGAAGATAGCAGCAGCAGCAAAGGTGCAATGTCCCCTACGAGACCTTACTCCACGTTCTCCTTCTTCGCGCTGTAAATATTCTGCACCGTCTCGTAGACAGACTCCAGATCCTCGGGGTAGCGAAGCTCTAGCTCTGCGTTCGGGATGTAGTGAGTGCCCGTAAACTCTGAGAAATAGCGTCCGACATCGGGGTGTGAGATTTCTTGAGGCTCCACATTATATTCCAAGTTTTCTGTTGATAAAGAGGCACATTCTCATTAAAACAGACTTTTCTGCAGTATCTTTCATCCAGAGAAGTTCCCAGCAACCCTTTTCGAGTGGCGCGTTTGAGATGGAGGAAAAGGAAGGACAGAAGATGTTTAAGGGCGTGAGTAACAGGAAAAAGGCAGCGAGCGGCAATGGCGGGGGGATGGAGGGGGGTGGCACGGGGTCCCCACAGCTCCACAATGAACAGAAGCACTCTCCTATTCTCTGAGCAACAGATGTGGCTCCGGCAGGACTCCCGCGGTCTCCGACTTGGACCTAACGTAGAGCCACACGTACAGGACACGGTATCCTAGCCTGCTCTGTTTCTGTCAGCAGTTATATCATCTGGTGACAAGTCTCCTACCTGCCATCCTTCTGGTCTACTAACATGAGGCCCTCCCACACACGCCACACTCTTCCATCACGGCTCCTTCCGTTCAATACTGGCTGTGAGCCTCTGAAGGCGAGCACTTCACAGGGCGCCCGCCAGGTCCAGGAGGGACAGACAAGTGGTTCGTACCTATAGACACAACCTCTAGACGTGGATGTGGGCTACGACGTTTGTACACAGGGAAACTACGCTACCTCCATGCCCTGCTTTCTACTTTGCTACTAGAGAAAGATATAAAAAATAACCATTAAAATCCTTTAAAATGGAATGGTTAAAGAAAAAGATGACAATGCAGGCAAGGCATTTTCAAGGCTGAAATCTTTTCACATGGCTTCTCCCCCCAAAACAGCTCAAAGACAGCTCCTCCAGGGACCCAACGGAAGGACGGTGTCTGTGCACCATTCCTCGCCGGCCCCCATCTGGGAGACAGACCTCCCCCAAGACCTGGCCCCGGAAAGGAGCCGGCCAGGCAGACCCTGCCCACTCTGTGTTCCAGGGCAGTCCTGTTGCCGTCAACGCGCTATCACTCTGCACAGCCTGTTGCTGGAATGAATTCGAGTGAGTCTCTCTGCACAAGCCCGGCCGATGGGCTCCTTCACCCACAGAGCAGCACGTCACCCCGTGACATCCTGCAATGCACTCAGGCTGCTTGGTCCCCTTTCCCTGGAGGCCCCGTGTCCCCAGAGTGCACAGGATAAACAAGAGGAGGCTATCTCAGCATTCCTTATGACAACGAGAAAGTAAAAACAGTCTAAACATCCAACTCCAGGTCACTGTGTAAATAAATGATGGCACATTAATTCAGCAAAATACTAGGCAGCCAGGAAAGTGAGCAACGTGTTTTCGAGATCCTATGACGGACTTGCGAGTGAAAAGATTTGAGCTCATTACAATGAACCTGGAGGCCACATACTCGGGTTGCTTCGTTACACGGCATAGCAATGTATTTCAGATGGATTTTCAACTGGGCACTTACAACGTGCCAGGCTCCAGCTCCCAGAATGCTCGCGTCACTCCACAAGAGGCTCTTGTCACTTCTGCCAAACTGCAGTGAAAGATCTGCCCGTGGAGGCAACCAAGATGCAAACTCAGACCGTCCAATTCCGGAGCTGGGACGGGTCACAAGTGACACCTGCGGAACTGGGCAAGGGCAGGGCGACTGCCACCTCAGGAGACATCAGGGAGGGAGGGGCTGGGACACTGGGACAGACTCGAGAGCGCGTGGCTCTCGCACCCTCAGAAGGCCAGGCTGCAGCTGGCGCTGCTCTGTGGAACGGGAGTCGGGGGCTCCCGGCACGGAAAGCGGGGAGGCCGCTGACTCCGATCTCCCTCTGCTGTTACCACGACACCTCTGCAGATGGTTTTATGTCCTTCTCTATGTGTTACATTGTTCTAATGTTGTCATCAGAAAATTCAGTAAATGTAAAAAAACGTGGATGTTTCAAAATGCCCCTGGCTGCTCACCTGCCCCTGCTGCCCCTCCCCCAACAGGTGAAGTGTCACGGCTGTATCCATCCTTGGGGAGGCAGAGGGGGACTAAAGCATGGCCTGGTGCCTTAGCCAGGTCAGCTCTGAGGGCCTCACGGGTGGATCCTCTTGCAGAGGTGTGCGGACACACCAGAGGGAGGGCAAAGAACCTGGGAATGCCACCGAGACACAGAAGTCTCTGCTCTGAAGGCACCAGCTACCTGTCGTTGGTAGGCAGGACAGAGACAGTTCTCGTAAAAAGAATTCGAGTGGGTAGTTCAGAACAACTGCTTTGTTACTAGTTCGTCAAGAGCAGTGGTTCTCAATCAGGGGCTGTTTTGCCTCTGACAGGACATTCGGAAACATGTGACGACATTCCTGGCTGTCACGATCAGGGGCTGCTACTGGCGTCGAGTGGGCAGAGGAGGCCAGGGATGCTGCTGAACAAACGCGCAGGCCCGTCCTCCACGACAAAGGATCGGCTACACCAAACCGTCAACAGTACCTGCTCTGAAGAAAGTCAGACACGTGCTTCACCATTTCTCTCTCCCCCGTCTCTCTCTCTCTTTCTGTGTATTATTAAGTAGCATCTTGGTGCTGGCTAATACTGAGCATCTGAGTGTTGGGAGGAGGACAGAAAGGTACAGATCGGGTTACGGTCACACATCTGTAAGGATTAACACTACCGGGGATTCCACGTAAGGGGAGAGGACAGTCCACAAGGGGCTCACAGCCCCGCTCCTGGCTGCTACAGAGAAACAGGGATGAATCCAGTGCAGCTACCTGCTCCGAGCACGTGCTCAGGAGCTCCTAGCATAACAGGAAAACTGCATCACTGAAAAAGAACTTTCTAAAGGAGGTAATAAGATAATGAGGTTGGCAACTACGCGTTATGAGGGGAAAATAAATGCCAATCCACTAAAGGAGACTTAAAAAATTCACAAGAGGAATGAAAATGCTAAGTGCTACAAAATTTTTTGAGCAAAATATTAAAAAGGACTACATAAAAGTCCTGGAAAAATCTTGAGAAGTCTTTCCAATTCTCTTGACATTTTCTAAAAAATGTCTGCTTATTTTATTTGAAATTTTCAAACTACCCCAAAACATGTGAATACACGTCCATAAAACTATGGAAACACTATCGACGAGTCCTCCGGGGCCACCTGTCCTGCCCTGGCACCTCCAGCCTCCCGAGATGAAACCAGGATCGGTGTGAGTGCACCTTTCTCGTCCTTCTACGAACACACACGTATGTATCTAAACATACCTATACGTGCTTAAAGAAGCTTTGGTATTGTTCTATGTGTTTATTCATACGAAACACAGTAAGCATTCACCTGTCACTGGTTTAATTGCAGCTTAGTATGCATGGTTTAGATGCACCCCGATTTGCCAGGCAAGTCCTAATAAATGACACAGTTTTGTGTTTATAACAAAGGGACCACAGGCCCCTTGGGTGAGTGTGTCTCTGGTGGAGGGACTGAGGGGACGAGAATGAGCACTTGAGATTGTCACAATTTAAGAGTGCCAAACCACCCTCTGCAATGGTTGAAAATTTATACTCCAGCCCTGATGTGTGAGGGACCCACACACACGTGCCAGCATGTGCAGACTGCCGTGGACTGCTGGTGTGTGGGAGGCGTTTATGGTGGAAGCTTTTGATCGGAAGTGTACGATGAATTATGAAAAAGGAAACTAACGTTTGGTGAAGGCATATCATGTACCAAGAATTCTAAGAGGTTGTTTATCATTATATACAAAACACACATAAGAACTTCATTTTTACAGCTGAATTCCTGACCTTCCAATATGGGCAGCTGACTGAAATTCAGAGCATCTGTGATATTCATTTCCCGGAGTAACTAAGAAGTATGGAGGGAAGCAGAGACAGGAGTCGCTGTTCTACCTGGTGCCAACGAAGTATGAAAGCATGCCCCCTAGTGGAAAAAAGTGATAAATAGGCAAGATGCTGTGTACCCCTCCCTGAGGAGTTAGGTGAAATCTCACGTATAGGGGGGAAAATTCCCTTCACTGTGCAGGCTAAAACTCCTTGAGAATGTCATGCATGCATGTGAGTTATAATTCACTCTTCAGCTCTCTGTGGAGACCTACTAACAAGAGCATTCATATGGGTTCTACCTAGGTTACCAGGAGCATGGAGCCAAAGGTTAAAAGTTTAGACCGAGAAAAAGTTTAAAAAGAAAATAATGCAAATAAGTTAACCTAGAAATGTTTTAAAAAACGTATTTAAATAAGCATTTTTAAAATTTAGCCTCTCAAGGTCTCTCACTGGCTAAGTATGGGCTAATTTGAACATAACATCGTTCCAAATGATTATAACACATTGAGTAAGTAAAAATCCAGGACTCTATGGGAGAAGAGGGGAAGGAGGGCTGGAGGTGGAGGGAGGAGGAAGGACGGCAGAGAGAGAGAAGAGGGAAGGGGAGGAAGGAGGGGGACGGAAGCTCTGGTTCACACAAGTGGAGGGAATAACCGCGGCAGAGAGTCACTGCTCGGCAATTCTCATAGATAACTTAGGTGAGGAGATTCAATAGATGCTAAAACCGGCATAAGGATGAAAGTTGCTGGAGGAGAGGATATGCACACGGCGCCACAGCACGGCTCCATGGACTTCTCGTTAACGGCAAAGGGAAAACTGTCCCTTACAGCGAGTCGGTATCTTTGCCAAGCAACCAAAATCCGCCTCACTAACAGTGGGACATCGAACGCCACAGGCCTCTGGATGAGATGCAACTGTGACAAACACAGCATCTGATAATAGGTATTCCAGCCAAAAATACCAACCTGATCTGATCAAGCTTCAGACTTACTTCCAGTTTACAGACAACACACAGACAAGGAAACATTAAGACAAACCTAGAATGTTAAGACAATTTACAAGACACCTGGCCTGAACTCTTCAAAAAGTCAAAGTATTGTAAAAAAGGGGGTGGGGAAGAGGAATGAGAAACTGTTCTTCAGTAAGAGACTAAAGAGGCAGAACCACCAAATGCAGTGCTTAAATCCTGACTGGACAGGGATTTAACACACACACACACCCCTATAAAAGTGATTCTTGTGACAACTGGGAAATTTGAATACTGACTGAATATAAGAAACTAAAAAATAATTTTTATTTCTTAGGTGTGATGATGTAACTGGTTATGCAGAGAGATGTCCTTATTCTTGGAACATGCATGATTATTTAGGTCATGGATGTCAGCAAAAAATTAAAACCTCTATCTGTAAACCAAACAAATACGGTAAATGCTAACTGTTGACTCTCGTGGGGTGTGTATGGGGTATTGCTATGCGGTTTAAACTGTTTCATATACTGGAAACGTTCTTAATCCAAAGCTGTTAAAGTCAGCCTTCGATCACACTATCTGCATTCGCCTCCTTGTCTGCACTTGTTACAAACCGCTCTCGGACAGGGATGCCTTCCCCTAGCCCGATGTGCGTGGCTAACTGGGAGTCTGGAGATGGCCCCCGGGTGCCAGGGACTCATCGGAGAGCGAGCCGACCCAGTTCCGCACCCCCAGAGCTCATGTAGAGCGCGAGAACCCGAATGTTACACGGGAGATACGGGAGAGGAAGGCGTGATGACTCAGAAGGGCAGGCGCTCAGGGAATGCAGAGCAGGGACAAACAACCCAGTCCAAGGGCAGCAGGGGAAGGGCAGGGGTGACAGTAAACCTGAAGCATGACCCAAAGCTTGGGGGTTGGGGGGGAGAGCCTGTGTGTAAGGGTAATTGCCTGCGTGAGGACCTGTGAGAATGACGATCTCGAGGAACAAGAAAGTTGCATCTGTCTAGAGTACGACAGGGTGAGAACAGAGAAGAGGTGGTGAGAGAGAGTCTAGGTCACTTCTGGGCTAGAAGGAGTCTGCTCTGCCAGTAAAACACTTCCGACCAGCGGCTGAAGCAGCAGGTGGAAGATCCTCTAGCTGTTGCTAAGGAAATGCCCTTTGCGGGGCAAGACTGGAGGCAGGTGCCAGTTAGGAAGTTGGTGCCACTTAGGCAAAAAGTATTTGGGGCATGGAGAGGGGCAGGGTGACAGAAATGGAAATGAGTACATGGAAATATGAGCAAGAGACATTTAGGAGATGGAATCGGTGTGACCTGTTGACTAACTGGACATATGATAAGGAGGAGGGACAGAGAAGAGATGGTGTCCAGGTGGTACCATTCAATGCAGCAGCCGGAGCAGGCGACGGTGGGCACACGGAGCGGCATGGTGAGTTCAGTTAAGAACATCTGAGCCAGGTGAAGATGTGTGGATGCCCAGGGGGCTTTAAGGAGGCAGGCGTGGCCCAGAGAGTGGCTCTGAGTGGCCGCACATGCCTGAACATGTGTATGCAGACGACCTGGGGGAGCACCACAGCGTGAGAGGGCCCCGAGAAGTGCCATGTGTCATGTCAGCCTCTCTGGGAGAGCCTTCCGTGGGGCTTCGCCTCTGCACCTCACGGCCCAGCGCCTGGCTGGCATGCAACAGACGCCCAGGAAGCAGGGCCGGGGCCGACAGCACCACCAGCAGAGAACGTGGACGCTACCACAGAGTACGACCAGTGCTCAGTTCTGAGAGTTTCCTAAAAGTCTCAGAATTTAAAATTAAGAAAGGTAATTTGCTGACATTATCCCCAACCGCTTAGTTCAATCTGTTTTAGAGAATGTAAAACTGAAAAATGGGTATTAAACTTTTTTACGAAGTCATTGCAATATTATGACTCTAAACTTTACACTGCATGTTTACTTGATATGAGTCAATAAGACGAATTCCTGAATCTTCAACACGGACACCGGACGAATTCAGAACACACAAAGCCAAGTATCACTTTAGCAATTCTAAAAAGCCCATTTTAAAGCTAACATACATGTTTCTAGAAACTCAAGTATTTTAAGTCTTAAGGTCGGCCCTATATAACGGGCAATGACTGTGCTGGGTGAAGCCACAGAACTGGCCCACAGTGCAGACAAGACGACCCCTTTACTCTTGTAATGTACCTTATAATATGCAGTGTGACGTGCTTACCGAGTGATTAGTGGGGGTACAAAGAGCCCATGAATCAGGCAATAATTTCTAAAGCACACTATTTAGAAATTATTAGTATGATTATTTTGTCAGAGCTTTAAAAGTTAAATAAAATCATGTCAGCACCTTTGTCTGACACGGGGCACACATCAAGCCCCTACTGTAACTTCCCTGTTACACTCAGAGAGACCGAAGCAACCTGTAAGCTCAATAAACAGAATTTCTTAGCGTGTAGGATCCTCTCACCTTCTGATGAATTAACAGTGATTAATGTGAAATTTTTTCTAGTCTTTTAGATACTTGAGATTTTTATATAGCTAATATTTCTATTAATGCATTTACCAGAATAGAATATTGAGTTAGGTCAAACCTGAAGTTTAGGTCAGACACAAAAAAGGTACAGCAGATGGTTACGGATAAGGTTCTTTGCTTCTTTGCTAAGCTGCCTGGGTTCAAATACACACCCTGTAAGTGAAAAATTCAGTTTCTTTATGTGTACAATGAGGATGATGATGATGATGGAAACTGGCGTTCTCAAATGGAGTTAATATACATTAGAATGCTGCCTGTCACAGAGTAGTATTACATTAGCATTTGTGTTCATTTTTAGTAATAAACTGAATGGTGTGAATGCCCTGACAGCAGGCATACAACGAACTCATCCCATGAAATGGAGGAACAGAAATGGGAAATTCACACTGAAGGCGTTTCTTGCCTCTAACCTGCTTCCATAGGCTCCATTTGTCTCTGTCTCAAGAATGCCCTGGGAGGCACCTGTCAGGGCCGGCAGTGGCCCCACCTACCAAGCACCTGTGCTCTTAGAGCCACTGCTGTAGACTGCAGTTCCCACAGTGGTGTCTCCAGGGGAACAGAGATGGCTGCCAGTCTCAAGAGGCTAGAGGGTGCTAGGGTGGCTTCCCCAAGCAGGTGGTATGGGCAGAGCGCAAGCTGACTCTTCCAACCTGGAAGGAGCCAATGGCAATGCCTGAAAAGCAACTAGATTGGCAAAGGCAATAGCCAATCAGAACAAAGGTCAGCAGCAGCACTGGAACAGGGTCCTAGCTGTGGTGGTAATGGAGGGGAAGACTCAGGACAGTGACCATTTCACCCGAGGCATGGCCGCACCAGCCCCAGCTGAGTATCAGCCCTAATGAGGTTAGCCACGGGAAATCAGTATTTTGTGCACACAGGATCTGAGTGCTCAAATGTGTGCTTCAAACATGGCAACATGTCATTAAAAGTAAAGACAAAAACTAGCTACTTACCTTGGGCTGCGTATCTGCAAGAACCGTCCTCCACCAGAACATTATAGAAAGGCTGATGATGGCCATGAGGCAGGCTGTGGACATTCATGTTTCGAATCCATTCATGTCCCATCATGCAGGTGGGGTCCCAGCCATAGATCACACAGTTATAGCCATACCTAGTTAACATAAGAGCAATGGCAAATCAATTCCCTGGGATCCTGGCAACCATGAAATGTGTAAGTGGCTTGGCTTTACTTAAGATCCCATTCTTACAAATTTACCTGCTTTTACTCCATATTGAATCGTTCTTCAGGATACCCTGCCTCTCTTTATAAACACCTCTTATTATCAATGTAACACGTTAGTTGAAAAAGAATGAACTCTTCAACAGAGTAATGAGACAACTGGTTATCAAACTGGAAAAAGGTATCAGGACCCAGGGCTGATGACAATACACAAAATTAGTTCTTAGTAGAACAGAGACCCGAATGTAAAATGCAGAACTTTTAAAACTACCTTTGTGATTTGGGATAGCAAATGATTTCTTAAGTACTAAAAATACAAACCATAAAGGCAAGGATCGATCACTCTGACAGCATTAAAGGATCCTGATTCCAACAGACTATATAAAGGACAACGGGGGACCCACGAACTCTGATTAGGTATTTGACGAGGTTAAGGAATTGTTTATATTTTTTCTTAAAATATGATGACAGAATGGTAAATGTATTTTTAACAAAGAAAAGAGAGGCCTTACCTTTGAGAGATACACAGTGTAATAGTTACAGATGAAATGACATCTGGTATTTGCTTCCAGGAAAGAGGGAGGAGGGGGCGGGCTGGGGAGGAAACAGTGAAGACTGACCCTAGCATGATAACCGTTGAAGCTGATATGGGAACATCACCTGGTTCACTGCCCTAATCTTTCTACTCTTATATATGTTTGAAATTCCCATAATAAATAAAAAATAGAATGCGACAAAAGAAAAAAAAAAAAAACACTGGCCAAAACCTGGGAAAAGACATTTGCAACATATGTGCGTACAGAGACTAGTATACAGAAAAAGAATTTGCATCAGCAAAATGACTAAGAAGCGAAAAACTGAAGCACTCAATAAAAGGAAATTTAAATGGCCAGTAAACTCATGACAAGAACCTGAATCTGCGTAGTAATCGGGGAAATGCAAATGAAAGTCACAATGAAATATCATTTGCCCTTTACTACAAAAGTGCCATTTTTAAAGGTTTGGCACCAACACACGGTGGTGAGAATAGGAGCCCTCGGTTCCCCGCCTGCCGGTGGGGTGTGACTCAGCACCGCCACCGTGGACAGTTTCCGTCTAGTGACTCGCCCATGAGCATAGCCCGCCGCCCAGCAAAGCCCAGCCCACACTCGGATTCAAGGACGTGGACGTGGAGACAAAGGAGAGTAAGGACAATGAAGAAAGGAGAGAAAAACTCTGCTGACGACTGCTTCCATCTTCCCACAAACGAAAGGGTCAGACACCTAACGGTCACTGAAAGCACTAGGCGACCTCCCGTCAGGAAAGCGAGCCCCTTCTTAAAAACAAAAAGGTTAGTAAAGAGTCGGTCCTTCCTGCGGTGAGCGCTTAGCTGCCCCTGGAGTTGGTCCCCTTCGAGCGTGTCACTGCTGCTCCTGAGAGGTGCTGCTCCCCGGCCCTCGGGTGTCCTCTGCAGCCGTGCGTGGGCAGAGGCCGGGGGCACTCACCTCTTATGCTTCATAATGAGCCCGATGGAGTAGCAGACGTCTCTGTGCTTCTCGTGGGAGCGGAGCTTCACCTCCACGCCCACGTCCTCCTTCTTGCGCTCAATGTGCTCTAGCGTGTGCTGCACCAGATAGCCCACCGCCCCGTGCTGCCCGGGGTCTAGGGTCTGGATGTGCTGGAGGATGTCAAGCACCTTCAGGACAAGACAGAAAGACTAGGTGATACTATTTTTATTTAGGCCTTTTCGTTTTCCCCGCACGGGATTTAGCCCTACCTAATCTAACGAAGGTCGGCAAGGCGGGCGGCTGTGCTGACGGCCCAGGTCGCTGAGACCCACGGGACTCTGCCCGGGCCGTGCTGCGTGCGTAAGCCTGGAGGCGGCGCACGGGCTTCTGAGACTGGGAACCGACCCCAGGCATCGGACTTCAGAATGTAAAGGAATCCTCTGGGTATGCGGTGGTCCGGGATTGGCCAGAGGTGAGGAGGCGAGGGTCTGCCCCTCGAAAGGTCTTATCTTCTCGGTCAGTGTGGGGTTCTGTTTTTTTTTCTTTTCTGAGCCAAGAAAGTTTAATTTAGAAAGTAGTATTGATTTCTGCCTTCTAGAATGTTCTTAAGAAAAGGTCAGTCTGTTGGTTGTTTCTAAAGAGTACAAACATTACGGCTACATTATTTAAGTGAAGAAGTAGAGGGGTTCTATTTTTTATACACAGAAAGGAAACAATTTTAACCTGCCACTCAGGAAATGGAAGGAAGAATAAACGCTAAGCTGCTTCATCAGAGATCAGGAGGACGTCTGACAGAGCTGCCTCACCGCTGCAGAAGGGAGAAGAGACGAGGTCCAAGGAGCCCGGAAGGGGTGCAAACGAGCTTACTTTCTGATGTTAATTATGCTTTAAGAATTAGGACAGGCGGACCAGGGCCCTGAAACCTCACTGGCCTTTCCGTTATTTTAACTCTGAATGGAATTCTGTATTCAACAAGGCACGGAGAAACCACCTCTGTGGGATTTATGCGTCAGCTGGTAGGAGCAGAACTCAAGGTTATATTCTTTCTACTGTGCCCAGCGTCTCTACAGAAAACACAAATTCTAAGGAAGGCAGCACGTGCACGGAAACGCAAACACACACGCCACGGCAGGGCAGCCGCTAGCAGAGGGTCTCCTCTGGAAACGGGACCCCTTTCTATTTGCCGAGCCCTAAGACAGAGCAACCTGGATTCTAGTCCCAGATCTGTCAAACTCGCTGCTTTTACCTTTGAATTCCTTTACTCGCTTATCAAATGATGATTAATAACAGCCCTACTTCCTATTATGTTTTGAACCTGTCAGTGTGTTGGTGAAAACTAGTTTTATGCAATGTAAGATACTATTACTCTAGAACCCGATCTTGCCTTCCAGACTGACATTTGCAGGATCTCTATGCTTACTGAACACTTAACTATTGGTCACTACGCCAAGCCCGTCACTTTTACTTCAGGTAACGCTCCCAACTTGAAAGTTAGCAACAAGAAGAGGAACAGGCTTGGTGAAGGTAAGAAACTTGCCTGAAGCCATGGGATTAGGAAGCTGTTGGAGTGAGGTTGGGGCCTGGGGCTAATTCTAACTCCTAGGTTTTACCACCAGCACAGCAAAGCAAGAATAGGAGTCTTTTAATTAGCTGTTATGAAAATTTTCAAACACATAAAAACAGAATGGTATGACACAAAGTGCCTCAAACGCAGCTTCAACCTGTCAGCTGAGAGCCAGGCCCCGTCCACCTCCCTGCTCTAATGGAGGACTTTCAACCTGAAGGACACAAACAACCTTTATCTTTTATAGCTAAAAGCATCCGGTTTAACAGTAAGCTCCTACTTACTAGGCTTGCGTGGTGTGATCCTGACATTTCCCCCATGCAGTTCCGACCAGTTACTACAAACTCCGTGTCTGTCACATCCTGCACACCCTTCCCTTCCTTACCTAAAGGCCCCTCCTACCTTCAAAGGACGTCTAGAGCTGAGTACCAGAGGAGGAAGAAGCTTCAGGGATAATCACCCCCTTCAGGGGGTTCGATGTGTGGATGATGGGGGAAGGGAGTGTACAAATGGAGAAGAGACGGTGCCGTGAACCTTGAACACTCCTGAAAGACAGTGCTGATGGCTGGGCGCCACGATGTGTCCGAACCAGTGTCTAGGCCTAGAATCCCGAGTCCGCACTTTGGAGGCAGAGCTCTTGAAAGAGGTGGTCGGTCTATCACCCACGACTTGCAAACTCTTCCCGTGAAGGGCCGGAGGGTAAACATTTCTGGCTTTGTGAGCCAGATGGTCTCTGAGTCAACTACTCCCCTCAGCTGCTGTAGCAGGAAAGCAGCCAGAGACAACAAGCCACGGGTGTGGCTGTGTGCAAATAAAGCTTGTTCATAAAACCAGGCTGCCTCGGGTCCCCTGGCTGTAGTGTGCGGCCCCTGCTGTCCCCTTACCCGAAGTTTCCCTGAAGCTCTCTCTGAAGCACTTGGCTCCATCCTCTGGCTGTCCCCCTGACTGTGGGCTCTTCTAATTTCAGGGCTTCAGCTAGCAGATGCTGATGCTGGATCCCCTGCCAAACGTTCTAGGACAGGAGCACTGGGCTCCCGGTCCTAGCAAATTCAACAGACCCCAAACTGAATACTTTCTCCCACCCTGAAACAGGTCTGTTCTCCACACACCCGCTTCTCGTGTGGCCCGATAGTTGTTGGGAAATCTGGATATCCCCTCTGAGCCTTTCCCTTATTTACAGCCAATGAAGTTCTGTCATTTTTCCTTCATTCAAATAAAAATTTCTGAACACCTACCGTGTGGCAGGACCTGTGTGGAGAGCAAGGGGGACCGTCGCAGTAAGGAACAAAACGGCTAAGGTCCTCGTCCGTGAGGAGCACAGTCTAGCGGCACACAAGGGTCAAACGAGCAGCTACGACGCCCTGGGGAGCGGCTCTGCGAAGGGCAGCACAGGGCCAGCCCGACGGGAGGCCTGACCTCGCGTGCAAGGGCCGGGCCAGGGAAGGGGCTGCAGAGGCAGAAATGAAAGCTGGCGGCTCGGCGGAAGTGAGCCGGCAGACGGAGCTGAGGGGCAGGAGCAGTGTTCTAGGCAGAGATGCAGCACGTGCAAAGGGCTGACGCAAAGAACAGGACGAGTGGAGGACGAGCGCAGAAGGGGCACCTGTGGGAGCTGAGAAAGCTCGGGCAGGGAGGGCCCGAGCACCGAGAGCTCACCCCCGAGCACGAGCGCGACCCTTCAAGGCGGTGGGGGAGCCACTCGGAGGGGTCTGAGCAGTGAAAGGACATAATTGACATTTTATTACGATTACTCTGGCAACAGTGTATAAAACGGGTTCAAATTTGGGGTCTGAGAGTAGAGGAAAGAAACCACGCAAAAGGCCTATGCAATAATCCAGGCGACAGAGCCATGTACAGATGTGCAGGGGACATCTAGGTAAGCTGGTCTGGAACCCGGAGTCCAAGCAGGAGAGAGGTCTTGGGATCTGTCAAACTACAGATGGGGATAACAGGTGACACCACCTAGGGGAAAGGCGCGGAGTGAAAAGTCTAGAAACTACCTATGGGGCGGAGCCTTTAAAGGAGTCAGAGGACAAGAACTAGTGAAAGCCTGGGGCCCAGGAACCACAGGGTGGAGGGGACAGAGTGTACTGAGCGGTGCATGGCCCCAGTGATCAAGACAGGTGAGGGAAGACAAGTACCTGCTGGATCAGGCAACAAAGAGAACGTTTATCCAAAGGCGGTCACTGGCTTCTCTGGCGAGAGCGGCTCTCAAGGGGGAGGGGTGGAAACGGGTCCCCACGCTCCGAGGAGTGCGTGGGAGGCGAGGCAGGTGGCCATGGCCTGGTCGCACGTGCGCGTATGGCCAGAGAGCAAGGATCATCACCGTGTGCGGGGGGAGATAAGGAGGCAGCGGGGGAAGTGCCGGCAGGGCTGTCACGGGAGAGCTGCTTGTTCTTTCCCCAAAGGTGAGAGAGATCTGAGCATGCTCAATGCTGACAGCAGAAACAGGGAGCTGAAGATGTGTGAGGAGAAATAAAGGAGAACGTAGCCATCCACGAAAAGGCAAACGAGTCGGGCCCAGGGCACAGCTGGGTTTGCCTCAGAAAACAGGAGGGAGATCTTTGCGAACAGTGAAAAGCAGAGGAAGGAGAGAGAGAGAACTCCAGCTCAAAGCAGGGATGCAGGTCTGGCAGCGGCAGGGGGCTGTCTTAGGACACGACCGTGCCTTAGCCTACTGTCTTGGGGGGCAAGGTGTGTGGGTGTGCTGGGGCGCCACCCACAGCTGTGCGGGAGACCTCGGCGAGTTACCCAACTTCTCAGAGCCTCACTTTCATTATTTGCAAAATGGCAAAAACTCAGTATGCACCCCATAGGGCTGGAAACAGGTGTCCAGTAAGTGTTAGTGACTTTAAAATGTGCCCATTCCATACTCTATTTCCATCACGGCCACAACAACCCAGGATTACTGAGACAGTGACCAAGTAGACTTGTTTATCTCAGCTCTTCCTGATTTAATTCTGTTGAAAACAAGCTGACCTTCTGGTCTTCCCAGCTTGGGAACGTTTCCTGTATTCCTAATAAGGTCAAGTGGATTCCCAGCCCTCCGCAAACTGATCTCACGCCCCGAAAAATGCTCCCCCCGCCACACACATTTATGCACATGCACATGTACACGTACACGGATCCAGACGCCTGTTCAGCTAGCCCCTGCACACACCGAGCTTTCCCATCTCCGTTCCGCCACAGGAGGAACCTACTTTTCTGCCTTCTGAAACAGTCTCCCTCCCATCCTTCAAAATCCACCTCAAACCGCTCCTCCAGAGAAGGGCCTTTTCTAATCACCTTGTACCCCCCAGATCCCTCCTCATGGGGAGCCTTCACGTCTTGAGTGTCGGTCCCCTGGCTAGGGTGCACGTTTACGGGGGGAGTCCCCAACTCTCTGGGAATGAGCCACTTTTCATTCCCGACCTCTGAATGGGGGGAGCGTCTATGCCAGCAGCAAATGAACGGCTGTCATGAGCTCAGATGTTTTGCATGTCACAAATCTGGAACTAGTTTTAGTGACACTTGCTTGGCAGAGAGACAGTCTTGGTCACTCTGAAGATCCCAAAGTAATTCCCCATAAGCAGTATATGAGCACTAAACCAAGTGCTTAAGGCCCAGGACGCCTGAGCCTCTGCGGAATTTCCCCCACAAAGGAAGTGTTACTGCCCCCTTCTAAGGCTGACGTGCAACTTGAGTACAGAATTTACTTATAAAGAACTCTGCTTTGAAAGGATCTCTGTATTTTACAAATTATCATTTGATTCCTTAACTAAAGTAAAAAGTAATAGGAAGTAATTATGAATATCCTAGTCTCAAAAATAAACACACTGAAAAAAACAGAAATAAGCTATTAAATCCTGGACAATAGGGTCCTAGGAAGCAGGTGGTGACTTTGGTGGAGTCTAGATTTCCCATAACTATTAGACCAAATACATGCCTTTATTACCTGGGCCACAGGTTCTATCTTTTCTTAAGATAGGAGTCTAGAGATTTTCCTACTAATGTGTCCTTTCTTAGAATTATTTTAGATCTTTGAAGTTGTAAGTAAATGTGACAATTTAAATCTAAGCAGTGCCAAGTCATTTAGACGATTTTCTTCCTCAAGGAAGATTTCGCCGCGAACAACATGAGCAGAGGACTTTATGGCGGTGTCCCTATGAGAACTCAGACTTCGACTCCCTCACCACACAAAGTGGATTGTGAACAGAGTCCCACGGAAAGGCGAGGGCATGACGGAAGCATGCAGCTGCTCCCGCACTGTAATGCGCGACTGGACGGAACCAGCTGCCGTCCCCACAGCTGGCTGTGGAGCATTCTGACCCCCAACACTGTGGCCTTCCGAAAGTGCGTGCTGCTGGCCACAGCTGCCGTTACAAAACTGAGGAATCAAGCTGAGAAATCCACGTGGTTTTCAAAGACATAACCAGTCCTTAACCAGTCCAGCAGCTGGCCCTGAGCAGATCTAAGATTTAATTTTCCTACGTCAAACGGGGTGTTTTTGTACGATCAGTTTAGCTGCTAACAGTGCAGCTGGAGGATGAGCGTTTAAAGTTTTGCTTTCCCTTGCTGAGCTGGGGTGACTCTGAGGAAACACATCTTTGGGGCATCAGTGGGCGAGTGGCAGGGCAGAGGCCCTGTGGTTCTGGGTATTTAAGGCACTGACCACACAGATAATGGGCAACTGGTATTATAACGGGTCTTTAGTTAGAATAAAAAGAGACAAAAAAATCTGATTGATGGGTCAAGACTGGGAGACTTTGCATGGATTTGTGTTTATCTCCCACGCTGATGGAATGATAAACCTGTAAGAGCCGCCTTTCAAGCTAGGATTTCCCTCTCTAAGGCAAGTGCGAAGCATCAAAGTAAAATAATTACCTTCTCTGGCCAGATTCCCAGGTGGAAGTAGAGCCTGGCTTGGAGGAGGAGGAGCTGCACCTGGTCCGGGTACATTGCCAGATACAGGTCCAGTGAGTCTCGCAGGAGCTGGTATGACTGGTCGATGCCTTCCCTAGCGGGGGAGAGAAACCTCAGTCTCGCCCTGTGTGCTTCTTAATACCCTCTTTTATCAAGCCTGAGTTTTAGAAATAATTGGCACAAATCCCACATGTTTTGACTCTAATATTTGCTCTCTGTTCAGCAAATAGTTACAATGGTCTTAATAAGAAAAATATACAAGAAATATAAATTCTGTAACCCACTTCGGTGATGGGCACTGTGCTAAAATCCTAAGTATTTTCACTACGGAGTCACCTCACTAACACTGTACATAATTATAAACGAATTCTGAATACGTGGAGCACTGAGGACTTTTAGGGCAGTAAAAAGGTCCTGTGATACTATAATGGTGGATACATGTTGTTAAGAATTATCTATATGTAGAATGTATAACACCAGGAGTGAACCTGAACAGATGAGTTGTAACTATGGACTTCGGGTGATAATGATGTGTCAATGCGGATTCGCTGACCCTAACCAATGTACCATTTTGGTGCAGATGTTGACCGTGGGGAGGCTATGTGTGCTTGGAAGCAAGGGGTGTGTGGGAAATCTCTACTTTCTGCTCAGTTTTACTGTGAACCTAAAACTGCTCTAAAAGTCTATAAAAAAAAGAATTCTGCCATCAGGCAGAAAATTATTATTACAATGTACAACTTTCTATTTTCCCTATCAGCCAAATTTCCTTTGACTCAGGAGCAAGAAAGTTTCATATTTGTCTTGCTTTCTTATCTAAGTGATAACAAGGTATAAATTAAAAGATGACAAAGCACTTGAACATGAGAACATCCTGCCCCGAAAGAAAATCTTTACGAGACTAAAATATTCTTGTTACTAAAGAATGCTTTTGGTATTTATAAAGATAACTTGTCCACGTCCACTGCAGAGATTTCAAAGAAACTCACTTAGCACATCTTAAATCTGGAGAGCATTATGTCACAGGAACCAGTTTTTTTCCATGGTGGGTGACAGCTGCAGACATCCCAACTGTGCTAAACAGCAATCACTGCTTTGCTGTATCACAGGGAGGCTTGTTAAATAACATTCTCTGCGAGGCGATTCAAGCCTTCAAACACATGCACTCTGCAGAAGTACTGGAAAACCACGAAAACCTTACCGCTTTCCCAGGCTTAAAAGGTTTCCCACCATTCGCTGGAGCACCTTCTTCACGTTGACCACCCCGTACAGTGCTGCAGTCACGTGCTGGCCGATCAGGTATTCACATTCTTTCACTGTCAGCTGCCTGCCTTTCCCGAAAGCATCGATGTAGATGTAGTCGAAGATGTCCAGGTTGGCCCTACCCAAAGAACGCGTGGAGTCAGCCAAAGCTCAAGTCAGAGCTAAGCAGGTCTGCATTTCAACCCCTCTAAGTAGCTCAAATCAGAGATGGAACGTTAACGCCGCACTTCTACTTAAAATATCGAGGCCTTGTCCAAAGTTTAAATCTGACCCTTCACATGCTCTACTGTTAAGACCACAGTACGCCGATGTTTAAGATTAAGAAACTGATGTATGCCATCTGATACAGTTTTTCTGGGGGAATACTCCTAAAACACAATGCCAGGAATATCAGAAGTTTGGCTGATCCCACAGATCAGCAACAGTTAGCGTCTGTGGACCCCGGGCCCCTGGAGGCTATGATGGAAGTTAGACACCCTGCCCCATCAGCGTTCTGCCCACAGTTCTGCAGACACATTCAGGTCGTCACAGACCTGCTGAGCCCACACATGGCCTCAGGGTGGGCAGCTGCTCCAGACCACAGAGCATGGTGTCCCCGGACTGGGACTGGATCACACCACTCCCCCACCCGCGCTGCTGTACAAGGTGGTGGCCTGCGCTGACAGAGCAGTGGGAGGCAGTCGCAGGGAGCAAGTTCTCACTGCATTACCAAGTACACGCTACGAGGACTCCTGAGGCATTTAGGTGGATCTTTGTTCCAGGAATAGTTGTATTTCTTTTCTTGAGCAACTGCTTCACTTTGATCTTATGCCCACTGCAAGTCACGTAAGAGATTTTTTGTTGAGCTGCTAAAAAGCCCAGGCAGACTTCTTCCTCGAGTCATATTAATAGCCTTCCTTTAGAAGACTTATATAAATGTTCCAGAAACAAGAAATGCTCTGCAACTCTTTTCATGAGTCTAAGAGAATCACACGTATACACACGCACCAGTTTACAGGCAAAAATCCTAAACAAAATATGAGCAAATCAAATGCAGCAGTGTATTTAAAAGAATCCATATGATTAAGTTAGATGTATGCCAAGAATGAAAGGAGAGTTAAACATTAAAAAATCTATTTTAGCACAGAAGGAAAACCACATGATCCTATTAGTAGATACAAAAAATAAATTTTAGGAAAAAAATCTACTGCCTTGTTATTAATAAAACCTTAGCAAACCAGGAATTTAGAAGGCAGCTTTGATAATCCCAATGAAACCTACTGTCCCCAAACACCATGCTTGAGGTGAAATTTTAAAAGGATTCCATTTACCGTCATACTCAGGCAAAGGAGCCTGCTATCACTGTTTCTATTCAACCTCCAACAAAAGGACCCAGCCAGCAGAATAAGTAAAAGAAACAAACACAGTGAGGATAGAAAGAAGAAACAAAAACGATTCATAGACAACATGACTGTCTACAGAGAAAAACCAAAAGAGCTGACGTGTCGATTATTAGCACTAATTGTTTATTTAGCAAAGGTGCTGAATACCTGACCTATATGTAAATATCAACCATATCCCTGTACAATGTCGATACTTAGAAAACTAATTTTTAAAAATTACCATTTGCCAAAAATTACTAATAGGATCAAGGTACGTAGGAATAAATCTAACAAGACGTCAAAGAGCTTGATGAAGGAAATGATAAAGTCTTTTTAATAATATTAAAAATGACTTAAATGTGGGGAGATATGTTCACTGAAAGACTGCAATACTCCTCATGTTAACTGATGAATCCAATCCAAGTAAGCGCTGGTGCCAGTTGATACCCACACGGGGTTTTAAAGGGACCGATGAACTGACTCTCAATCCGTGCTAGAGAAAAGGCTAAAGACAGCCAAGGCAATTTGAAGAACTCGACGGGGGTCTCACCTACGAGGTATGAGGCCCACTGGGAAAGGTATAGTGAATAAACAACATGGTCTTGGTGCGGGCACAGGTAAGCCAAGAGGAGCAGAGGAAGCACCTGCGGCCTGGCTGCTGGTTAGAGCTGAGCACTCTCCCGCCCTTCCCTGCCCTCCCCCGAGGGGCCAGCCCTTCATGGGTCTCAATGTCCGTTTTGGCCAGGGGCCTGGGTGCTCATGAACAATTTCTTTGCTCATGTGCACTGTAGGGTATGTTCACTGTAGCCTGAGTAGGAAAAACTGAGATAAGTAATATGGTACTTGGTGTTTTAAAGGCTTTATATTATGCAGAAATCTTTTGTAAATTATTATATCAGCATTTAAAAATATTTGAGATATTTGAGGAAATTGGTTGGGTTATTCAGGGAGAGAGAATGGGCTAAAAAACCATTTTTCCAATTTAAAATAGTGGAAAATGGGTGCCTTCTATCCAAAAAAGAACCATTGAATGCATTTTTAGGAACAGATTATATCTGCGAAAAGGGAAGCCTGTACATATTATTCAAAGAAAAAATATATAAAATTATAAAAAACTGCTAAACTGGTGGTTACCTCTGGAGAGGAGGGATAAGGAAGAATATCCAGGAAGCTCAAACTATATATATGTTTTATTTCTCAAACTAGGAGATAAAAATACAGAGGCCAGTTATACTTTTTTTCTATGTATGCACAGAAACTCTACCAGGTACGTAAAGCACTGAGTCATCTCATTTAACTCTCCAAACCACTTTAAGAAAACTTCAGCCCCATTTTACAGAGGAAGAAACAGAGGCTCAGAGGAAGCCAAGGTCTGAACCCAATGTGACTTCAAAGCTCAAATACTTTCCATTATACTTATCATTTCACCAGAGTATCAGAGCTAGTCATCAGGAAGTAGAAGATATTTCTTCCTATTTGCTGAACTTTTTTTTCCCCCAAAAGCTAGACCGTAGCTGAAAAGATTTATGCCCAACAGAACACCAGGCTTAAAAAAAGAGAACGAAGCAGAGCTCATTAACCTGGTCCACAAAATGCACATCTGTCACCAACCTTGCCTAAAAGGAGTGCCACCGATGATAAGAACATGAATATTTGCTTTGCACATCAATGAAGAACTTGGTTATCCTGTTCTCTCTGCCCCATTCTCTCCCTCCCTCCCCTCCTCCCCTCCTCTCCTCCTCCCCTCCTCCCTCTCTTGAGTGGGGAGGGAGAGAGGGGGAGATTTTATGGAAGACTGGAAAGAACGATTTTCTTTAAGAACTCTCTGATCTGATCAGCTTTGGAACAAAGAGACTTTGAGATCCACATAAGCCCTTGAACTTCTAGTTCTATCCTTTAAAATTAAACTTACTTTGAGATAACTGTGGATTCACATGCAGTTGTAAGAAAAGATACAGAAACATCCAGACTGCCCTTCTCCCACAGCCAGATACGGACATGGATACAGTCAAGAAGCAAAACAGCCCCATCACCGCCCTCGTCCTCTATTAACCTCAGCCCAGTTACACTCCCTCTCGACACAGGGGGAATGAATTCTCAGGACGGATCACAACATCATAGATGGCTCACCCTTCTGCGCCTTGGCACCACCTTAGTAAGAAGTGACTTGGGAAGTTGACAGGTTCCAGGGGGACCCCCAACTTCCGGGCAACTGTCATGTAGAGCAGAGACATGCTGATTGGGATTCCTGTTCTGCGGATCAAAACCTAAAGGAGAAAAAATGTTCAGCGTACTAAATGCACCGCGGTGCTCATAACTCCAGTACTCGTTTTCCTGAGGCACCTACTGTGTATCAGGCATGATGCGGCTAGCTGCAGAGGCTTAAGTGGATGAGTATTTTATTCATTTAGACCAGGGGTCTGCAAATTACAGTCTGGCCCACTACCTGTTTTTGTACAGCCTGTGTAAGAAGTTTTTAACATTTTTTAATGTTTAAAAAAAACATTCAAAAGAATACTAGTTTGTGACACATGAAAACTATATCAAATCTAAATTTTCATGTCTGCACGTGAAGTTTTATTGGAACAGTCACGATTATTTGTTTTCGTACTGTCTGTGCCTCTTTTCCCGCTGCAATGGTAAAACTGGGCAGTCAGGACAGAGAGCACATGGTTTAAAGAGGCAAAATAATTTACTCTCTGGCCATTTACAGAAAAAGCTTGCAGACCTGTGATTTAGGCCCTCCTTCCAGAAAGAATTTAAGGCCATTTCAAGGTAAGTGTGTAAGATATAAGTACCATACAGAGCGACAGAATAGATATGAAAATGGAGCCAAATAAGAAACACATAAAAAATAAACATCGATGACACAGCTGGTCACAGATTTCCTCCAACCTTCCTACAGGCCAGTGCAAAAAGAAAGACTGGATTAGTCTCCTAAGTTAGTGTTCATGAGCTACACAGAGACCAGACTGAGTCAGAGAAACACCTATTTCTAATCAGGAATTTATCTCAAAGGTTTTATTTTTATTTTTGCTTTAATACAGTTGTTTTATTTTTTATTTTATTATTTTTTAATTAAAAATTTTTCATGGTGACATTGGTTAACGAAATCCAGTAAGTTTCAGCTATATACTTTAACAGTAAGGCATATATATTTACACTGTGTTCACCTCTCATAATTATATTTCTTTCTGTCACTACATCTTTGACTTCCTTTCTCAAGGGTTTTTAGATAGAGGACACGCCATGATGAAATAGCTAAATCCACAGCAATATCTTTATACTGGTGGCAAAATGAGTTTCACTGGGCATTGAGACCAAGAAAATAAAGTACTTACCTTCAAAAACTGTATAATTTAACAAGAATGAGCTTAAACATCTATTTATTATTATTTTTAATATACCCACATTTACCTGGTGCATGTATAAGTTTAGGGCATTATAGTAATCCATTCGATTCCCCTTGAACTTCAGCTGGTCATAAAGGACATAGTTCATGGCGTCCAGCACCTGGCTCTGGAGTTCTATCTCCATTATCATGGAGGATCCACCTGAAACAGAGATCTCCTCTGAGGACACGAGCGCAAGTAAGGTTGTGACCAGTGTCCCCATAACATGCAGATGCTGGTCATGCACTGACGACATTCACCAGGTGTTAGCGATCCAGGATGGAGAACAAAATATGTATTTAAGTTTCACATAATACAGGTGAACATGTGGTTGTGTCATTAATGGCTTTTTTTGTGACATAATGGGCACACACTGCAGAATTTCCTAATAACCAATCACTCGAGGTTTCCTTTTGCAAAAACAGCTGAATCCAAAACAACTCCATACCTGCCTTGAAGGCCAAGCTGGGGTGGCGACTGTTGATGCCCCGGAGGGTTTTGCATACAAGCTCCACGATGCTGTCAATTTGGGCATGGATGTCTTTGAGGCTGATTTCGGAGAGAGGATTGCAGTACTGGTCAATATACACGGCACCTGAGCATGAACAAGAATTAGTGAGTAAACGCCTATTTTTACCCTTTGCTTGTTAGTTTGTCATTTACACTGGACAGCTGGGCCATAGGTTTCTACACCATCCCACCAGATAAGCTTTGTATCCTGGACTCCAGGCCTGCCTGCCAAGATGCTGGGAAGGAACAAGAAACATTCTCGTGACAAAGAAGCTTAAACGTGACTTTTTTGTTTTTAATAAACCAAATCTCTCTCAGACTCAAAAAACTGTGAGACATGGCGTATTTCCATATTCTATTACGAGGAAAAATAAATGCCATAAAGGAGATCTTTTCAAGCTACTTCTAGTTCTTTTATGGTTTAAAACCCAATGACTCTGAAAACTTAATGTTAGATGACAGTTCTTTAACTTAAAAAAATAATTGAGAGCTCTCAAGGACAGATACACCATTTCAACAAATTTTTACCTATCAAAGATGAGTCAGTAAATGGATTTTGACGATAACTCTACTTTCAAATTAGGTAAACAGTTACACTCAGGGAGTCTGAAGCTAAAACGCTGTATGAAATACACTGGAGACATTATCTCTTGAAAACCTCCACTCTTCACTGCCTTAGGTAATGTTTTTAACCAGACTCAAGAGCTAATTTGATCACCCGGCTACAGGACATTTTCACTTGGGAAGCCTGAGTCATTTTAAATGCAAGTGGTCTCAAACCAGCTCAGTCTTGACCCCCTACCCATACCCCAAGTAGCTGACAGCAACTGAACGGGTGTCAAGAGACCTGGATCCTAGTCTCGGTTTTGCCACCAGCCAAAGACTGGCTCCGAGGCCTCCTCTTTGGGACCGAGCTCCTCCACCTGTCAGCGGAAGGAATTTAGGCCACACTTCAAAGTCCACGCCATCCATCCTGTCGCCATGATGCCCAGTGATGCCCAACTTCATCAGTGCTATCGGATTATCTAGTCGGTCACCAGGGATCAAAACCCTGGGGTCGACTTCCACTCACTCAGCTACTTAAACACCTTCGACGGCTACCCAACACCTGCAGCGCTATCTCAACGGCTTACTCGAAAATGACAAAATTCCTTTATATTTGAAAGATGAAAAAGAAGTATTTTCATAAACGAGCTATGGAAAATAAAGTTTGTCAAACTATTCTTGACCATGCAATAAACGAGACAGGATGGCTGTCAATTCCAGGATGCACATGAGAAGGTTCCAGCATGGTGGTGAGATTTTAATGAACTGCAACAAACTTTTCATTTCGTTCTGGACAATGGAAGATGTTCACACAATGAACAAGAATCTGCACTAGGCACTGTGGAGGACCCAGTGATTGTACATGAGGACAAGGAACACAAGAAAACCAGGGACTAGTTGGAGAAACGGCCTGTACACACATGAAACAGAAACGACACAATCCAGTGCAGTACTCTACGCGGCTGTCTTAGTTCTGAGGTGAAGAAAATCTGCGGGTGTTGCAGCTGCCAGAGAAACTCCACGGAAGAGAAACCTGAACGGAACTTTGGAGGAGAGAATTCTAAGGGGCACCTTGAATGAGGATGTGAAGCCAGGTATATTTGCAGGGTGCCACTGAGGACGATGGCCTGGCTGAAGCAAATGGGACATTCTGGAGATGAATGGGCAAAGGCTTGGTTAGGAGGAAGGACTGAATTATGGAGGGCACTGAAAAGTAGGCAGAGATTTAATAGAAAACAGGAAACCGCACTGAAGGTTCACGTGGTGTGGGGAAAAGGCTGTTTCCTACTGGACCGGCACTGGCGTGGTGGTTGACTTGAGGGCAGGAGGGGGTGATGCTCATGAAAGCTACTGCTGGGCGAGGCGGTGAGTCTGCATGAGAACGGTAAGAGAATGGGGGCAGGATGACGAGAAACACTGGAGAGGAGAAAACGAACTGGGTGCATCTGTGGGAACAGGGAATGTATACATTTCATAACCTAACTTATAGGACTGTTTGTGTAATACGCTAGGAATTTTAAATAGTTTTAAAAAAATAAAGTCACATTTTGTTCTTGTTCAACTTAGCAGGAACAAAAAGTTACTCCCTCCGTCGTGCCTGTGCACTCGACTTCCTTCTCCCCACTTCTCACTGGGGGGAACGAGCACTCGCTGATGCGCAGGAACAGTCTGTCCCCGTTAAACTCCAAGCAGAGGTTAAGGAGTTTGCTCAAGGTCACATGGAGACAAAACTGGACACATTTATTTCTGATCTGGAAATGATGCTTCAAAACTTAGAAAAACAGAAAATTAATCTCATTAGCTAAAATATCAGTCTCATGCTTTGAACTGCTGATAGATCTTTAGAAGTTTCTTCAGCTCACAGATAAAGATTCTGAGAACATTTTAGCTCTAAATTTAATAGTCCTGCCTACTTAAATGGCCAGAGCACAGAACCCAACCCCCAGTCGCCTGTGCCGCGTGGTTCGCTTTCCCACGCTTGTCCATCAGGGACACTGCCACCCGTAAGGACAACTCAGCTGCCCACCCAAACACTGCTCAAGTCTCACCTTCCAGATACGATTCAAAGTCATCGGAATGCTGAAGAAAAGCCTTAAGATTGTTTAAAATTTTCTGTTGTCGTAGGTAGTAAAGAATTTTTTTGGCATAGTACTTCCAGGTCAAAGCTTTTCTGGAAAAACAAACCACAAAAAAAGTCAATAAAAATTAAGATACTAAAATTTTCAATGACGAATTTTTTACTTCACACTAATCATATCATTAACGAGCCCACTTAACAAGACAAACATGACTGGTTCACGATCACATAGCGCTCATTATCATGGAAGCAGACAACACAATTTAGGATTTCGCATTTGTAATATAACACCAAGTTAGTTAGTCATGCTGAAGTTCAGTAAATAGTAATCTGTTTGGCCTCAGACTTACCAAAAGGAAATGAGAAGCTAGGGGAACTGGGGGAGTCTCGGGACATTGGGCTGAGGTGTCTTTGCCGGCCCCTCCGCACCTGGCAGAGAACTCGGGCCTTGGCCTTTCCCCTTTGCTGCGTTTCTCCGGCACGCTCCGCCACGGTGATCTCATCCAGCCTCATGGTTTCAAATGGTATCCGTACTGACAACCCCCAATTTACTCTCTGGAACAGGCTTCTCCCCTGCACTCCAGACCTCAATGTCCAGCTGCCACCGCACAGCCCCCTGGGGGACCTGGGGAGCAGCCTGCCGTTCTTCCCCTGTCATCCCTGTCACAGATAAAGGCAACTCCAGCATTCCAGCTAGACCAAAGCCTTGCCATCATCCTCGACACATTCAATCCTCCAGCAGTGCTGTCAGTGCTCTCAGGAATGAGAACATTCTCACTGACTCGTCTAAGTCACCATCGTCTTTTGTCCGTATCAGAGCAACAGCATCCTCACCGAGCTTCCTGTTTCGAACCCTGGCCCCTCAGTCTATGCTCAATACAGCATCCACAGTGCTCCAGTTAACATGTTAAATCGCAGCATACAAATTTTCGGCTCCAAATTCTCCAATGGTTTCCACCATGCTCAAAGCAGAAGCCCAAGTCCTAATGACGATGAAAAGGTCCTTTAAACTCTTGCCCCATTACCTCTCTGACCTCAATTCCTACTATTCCCACCCTCAAGCCAGTCAGCAGGCATGCTGGGTTCCCTGACGTTCTTTCATCGTGCCTGGCTGGTGCTTACCTGAAGCCATAGCTTCTCAGTTCCTTCTGACTGGAACATTCTTTCCTTGGAGATCTGCAATCTGTGCCCTCATCTCCTTTTAGGTTTTGATTCAAATGTCCCTTTGAGTAAGGCCTTCTCCCACCACCCTATTTAAAACTGTACCACCCCCAACTCCCTCACCCTCTTCCCTGATTGGTATTTCTCTACAGCATGTCTCATTTTCTAATGTAAGCTCCATGAAGGCAGAGTTTTTTGTGTTGTTCAGTGCAGTATTCCCAATGTCTAGAATAGTGTCTGGCCCACAGGAGACTCTCAGTAAATACTTGCTGAGTAAATGAAATTCTTCACCAGATCTCCCAAATATACACAGGGATCATGGGAAGCAGGAAGCGGACAGTGTTTAATTCTCAACTGCCTGACTTCATAAAGAAACAAAGAGGACTCTCCATCTTCAGTTAGCAAATGAAAATCAGCAGAGCCAGGTTTTACCAGCTTTGAAACCTTTGGGTTGTTTAATTTATCAATCTAGAAAATCCTTGAAACAAATGAGTAGCTTAATGAATTAGTCTAAGGCCAACGCCACGTATCTATCACTCAGGCCAAGAAAGAAGACTTTGCAGAGGCCCCACAAGCCCTTTGTGGGTCCACTTCTCCCATCTATAATAATGGCAATCCGCACCTCTACAGTCATCACTATCTTGCTTTTCTGTGGTTTCCATCAAATGTGCATCCCTAAACATTCTAGACTCGTCTCTTTCAATGCCTTTTAAATCTCCCATCCTACAAGATCCCCCTCCATCTTTTTTTCCCCCCCTGTGCATTTTATTTGTTGACGAAGCCTGGTTGTTTGACCTGTAGTTTCCTAGAGTCTGGAATTTGCTGACTGCTTCATGTAGTTTAAGACGTTCTTCTACCTTGTGAATTTCCTATATACTGGATGTAGATGCTTAATCAGATTAGGATTTCATTTATGGCAAAACTATTTCATAAATGATAGTGGATTCTTCCATCAAGAGGCAATCTCGCCTTGACTGTTTCTTTCTGTGATATTAGCAGTCATTGCTACTCAAAGCCCAGGTCCATTACAAATTGGTGATATTCTAATTCAACTATCCCTTCTTCATCTATTAGCTGGAATACCTGCATAAAGAATAATTTCCCTTTATCTACTATTTGGTTCCCCAATGGCATAATTAGAAAAGTAAGACAAATGCTCATCATTTTTCAAAATAAATATTTGGGTTCTTATTATCCTCCAAAGGTGACCAATTAGTTGTTAAGTATTATTATGAACTCATTGAGCTAAACATATTTGATGTATTTCAGTCTGTTCTAGTTATTATCCACACTGATGTTCTGATTGTCACATCTTTGGCCAATGGAGGCCTCTTCATTGGAGCCCCTGAATACTTCTGATACGAAGTATTCTTATTTTTCTTGCTATCTGGTTCCGGGCTTCTAAGATACTCCAGGTTCATCGTCTACATTTCCTGTATTGAACCTAGAATCAATCACTTCTCCAAAAGCTCTGGATTCTCTGATAGGAAATGGTATATCAAGACTACAATCTGGTACTAGGATGATCATTTCTACTAGGTTGGTTATTGTTTTAGACTTTTTCAGTGGACAGAAGTTAATAAATACAGTATATGTACATGTGTGCATACACAACACACACATCCCTATATATATTTAAATATAACTCATAATTTTATACAAAAATTTCTAATTCAAATTTAGAACTCTAAAATTTTTACCTTCTACTTTGTACCTTTTTTTCTTCCAGAAAAATCTTGTTTCTCCAGTTACATACATTTGACCCTTGAACAACAAGGGGGTTAAGGGCACCCACTGCCCGAGCAGTCACAAGTACATGTAACTTAAGTCAGCCCTCTGCACACTCGGATTCTTAACCGCCCACTGACCCTTGAACAACAGGTTTGAACTGCGTGGGTCGAATGAACTGTGAAGGTCAACTGAAAACAATCTGTTATAAGTGGACCTGCACAGTTCAAACCCGAGTTGTTCAAGGGTCAACTGTAGCCGTCTGCTTTATTCCACATCCCCCCAACATAAACCAGCCTCAGAATAACAAAACCAATATTCTTGTTACCTAAGTGATTACTAAAAACAGCTAAATATTTTGCTTATGTCCCCCCCATACTCTGCTCATTTTTTTTAAACAACTGTATTATATCCACAATGCCAGGGCTTACACTCACTACATATGACATTTTGGATTTAATTCTACAAGTAAATAGATATTTAACGCTCACCACTAGTCCTTATGTCAATGTCTCTCTGATTACTTGGCTTTAAAGCTCATTTTCTAGCATATTTCTTAGGAAGGGCTCAAAAGCTGATAAATTTGTCTGTAGCCTTTACAAGTAGAAGTCAGTTTGGTTGGATATAAAAATCCTTGGCTGACATTTTCGATCCTTGAGTATCTAAAAATGTTACTCTTTTTTTCCTCTGGCACAGAGCATTGTTGTTGAAAAGCCCGATGATAATTCTAATTTTCTTTCCCTTACACGTGACTTATTTTTTGCTTGGAAGCCCAAAGGACTATTCTGTCTTTAAAATCTAGTAGTTTTACTGAAATATATCTCAGTGTTGAACATTCTAGGTCAATTTTCTCATACTGTGTACCCTTTTCATAAGTTGTTTTGAATCTTTACTGCAGTATGTACTCTTTTTGAAGACCATATAAAACACCATAAATGCATACTGTTTTCAAATATCCAGGAATTGGTGCTTTAGCATTTACAGAAACTACCCTTTTTCCTTTCTATGCTTTCCAAATCCAAACAAGAAGCACGTGCCAGGAACGAATACAAATAGGGTCCTTCGTGAAAACTGGCATCCCAAAATATTTACAAATATGAGTATCCCTTGTTATTTAAAGATGACACTGTTTTAGGCCCAAAGTATATATGTCAGGCCAAGGGGTAACACATCTATAATATTTACTTCTAAAAAGACCATAAGAATGTTTTTCCTGGCTGTGCATATTCAGTTATTTTGCCAATCTGCTAAGTTAATATGCAATATTTTATTGTTACTTAACATTTCTTTGGAGAGTAAATCTAAAGATCTTTTACATGATCACTGGCCATGTGGGTCTGTTCTTCTGTAAATGTCACCCTTCTACCTTTTGTGTATTTTTCAGCTTCATCTTGGAGATGTTAAGAATTCTACTGACTTCGTCTATGGTTTCCTTGGTCATACGGAGATATCATTAATAATATTTTGCAAAATCATTTGTCCATATTCTTTTATTGCTTCTGCATTATCAGTCTTGGTTAAGGAGATCTCCTTAGATTGTACAAAAAAATCTCCTATTTTCTTGAGGGATTTTTCATTGTGATAAAATTTAGGTTGTTTAATCTTTTGGAATTTAGTTTTTTAAACATGATATAAGTTTTACTTCCTTCCAGATGCATAAATAGTTATATCTAACAGCATTCATTCAACAGTCCATCTTTTCCCTTCTGAGTTTAAATGTATTATTTTTTATGCTGGGACATGTTTCTGAATGTTCCTTTGCCACGAATGTGGCTACTGATTTTTACTTAAACATTGTTATGTTTTCATTACAGGCAGCTTTGTACTATGTTCTAATATCCAGTGACATTATTGGATAATATCTAATATCTAGGGATGCAAGTTTCCCATTGTGATTATTAAAAAAAAACATTTTTGGCTCTTCTTGTAAATTTATTCTTCTATGACAATATCATCCAATTAAAACACACACAAAAAACTCTCCCCTCCCAAAATGCTTGTTGGATCCTAACTGAAAGAGCAATAGGTTTATGTACTGATTTTGGAAGAACTGATATTTTTGTGATGGTAAGTCTCCCCATTCAAGAGCATGTTCTTAAGGTTTTCAATAACATTCTATAGTCTGACCTAGGAAACCTATTCCCAAGAATCTTTTACTGAGAAATGAAACCACTGAAACATCACTCTCTGCAGTAACACAAAAATGGAGAAGTGGTTACCCATCAATACGGGGATGGTTAAATAAATAATGGTATATTCTGCAAAACAGTATAGTTATTAACAAAAGTGAACTGGATTTTTTTTTTTACCAGTTGATTAGGATCGATTTCCAGAAGGTAACGTTGAATGAGAAAACGAAATATAGAAAAGTATCTATTTTATGATCATAATTTTGTGATCATATCAGTATTTTTAGCATGGAAGAATACAACCTAGTGTGTCATCATGAATTATAGGGGTGGGGGCAGGGAAGGTCAAACGAATGGGGTAGGGAGGAAGGGAAAACCAGCATAAGAAAAAAAAAACAAAGTCTGCACTATATAACATATCAAAACTAAACAATAAACTCAGTATATTATATTTATGTATTTAAAAGTATATGCGTACACATATGTAAAAAACAGGCCAGCTTTTATTTTTAAGGCTGCACAATACTGACTATTAGATCATACTTCAATTCATTTATAGATAATCCAAAATAGAAACAGAAAAATGACCTCTGTATTTGAACTCTTCCAAGGCCTAGAATAGTGACACATCTTACCTCTGCCCTACAGCTGTCCTACTGATAGAGATTTCTCTCTCCTAAATCCCCTTAAAAACAAGAAAAAGATCTTATGCCTTGATATTTCACAATGATCTCTCTTAAGGAAGATGCTAAACTAACATTATCTTCCATCAGTGGTAAAGTTTCCAGAACTTCTAGGGCAGAAAATCTTTCTCATAGGTAAGTTTGGCTGGAAGCCAAGTCCTCTCTCGGGGAAACATGGAAATTAACCCTCACAGCAGAAAATGGGTTATAAATTATAATTTTTAAGCAACAACCAAGAGATAACGGATTCTTCTTGATCAGTAGAGATTAAAGGCTCAACCAAATGTCTGTAAGGTTCATGGCCAGAGTAAGATTATTTCTTACTAAAATTCAGAAACTGTAGAAAATCATTTATTAGACATGCCGAAGAAACTATTTTTAAAAATATTCAATGCATGACAGGCAAATTTGGTAGTGGTAGGTGGAGATAACTAAGGAAAGGTAAGTTATATGACCTAAGTGACGTAACAGATACAAGTGCCCAGAGCAGTTTTTGACCCACAGTAGAGTTAAATATGTACTAATTGTCTTTTCTCTCCACATGGCTTTTGCATGGTTTCTTTAAATATCAATGGTCTCAGTGTACTTACCTTATATACAGAATTTTCCAAGAATATAACTAACAACACATGAAATATTTGGAAACACATGTCCCACGGTTCAGCCACATACAAATTACAGCAATTAATTCTGGGGTTGGGGTTATTATTAAAACAAACGAACAAACAAAAAAATTCCTGCTATAACTATGGCTTACCTTCCTTCCATATTTAGGATACACACCAGTTCATCCTCAAAAAATATCTCGGGTCCCTCAAGATTCTCTATGTCACTAAAACCGTTACAAGGGACCTACAAAGAAGACATATACAAAGAGGCCTCAATAACAAGTAATAATGTCACTGATATTCTCATGCACAAATCTGAGCTGCAAAGAAAGATGGTCATTCTGGTGGAAGTGGTAACAGCTATCCTAGACTATCTTGCACCACCTACCATGAGTGGAAAGTAGCATGCAAAGGAATGATACTTTGTTCAGATCTTGTTGTGAGCAGTAAATTAATTACATTTTCAAAGACTGAAATTTCTGAAAGGGATAACTCAAGAATTCTAATGTGAAGAAAAACAGCTCTGAAACAAGAACTCGATATATAAAATCTCCGAAATCACAATAACTATTTCATGCAGTCTACGTTGTACTCAACCAGGAGGGCAGGGCGAGAGAGAGAAGTCTAGTGCTTTGGGCAACTCAACCCACTGGGCAAGTCTTCTTCTCCGTAAATGGAGGTGGTGATGCCAATGACCTTTCGGACCCTCTTAGTTTAAAATTCTATTACTTCTCTCACTTTTTGAAAGTAGCCAGGAAATTTCATGTCAGCCTGTGTGCATGTGGAGAACACAGACCCAAAGATCAATCTTAAGTATACTCCTGCTACGTTCAAAGCACTTGACATACTTCTAATTAAGCAATGGTACTGGGAACGAGGGAGCTAAGGAAAAAAACAACAACACGTAACAATTCACCATTAGACAAAGGTGCAGGCTGTTAAAAATGCACACACATAAACCAGCTAGGCTAGATGCAGAGACTGCAAACTAGCAGCCCATGACCAAGTGCATCAAATACATCTAGCACACAAATATATGTGTGCACAAACACATTTAAAGCAGTATTTAAAATCTGTGACTTAGCCCAGGCATGGCTTGTCCAAAGTAGAACATAAATTCTGTCCATTCTAACATTAACAAATATTTGTTTATAGAAATGAATTACACTAGGGAATATTGAGTTTTATTTTCCATAGGAGAGTAAGTTCAAATTTGTCCAAAGTTCGAAATTTGAACTTTCTCTTTCAAAACTTTCAAAGCTTTGAAAACATTTCAAATGTCTGAATTCCATTAATAGTAATTAAAATTAGAAAACAGGAATTAATCTCCAGTAAACCAGGATAGTAAAATAAATCAAACTGATTGCACTTCTAGATCTCCCCTCCCCAATCAGAAATACATTTAAAATATTAGTGTGTACTTTCCAGAGTTACAAAGTTAAGATTTAGGACCTGAGAGAGAAACTTTTGTGAATGCTTTGTAAAAGGAAAAAACAAAAAGAAAAAAACCTCATGCATTTCAGCAAAATTAAAAAAAAAAAAACTTTCTAGGGATAATGAATATAGGCAATTTAATTGATAGAGTAATAATTCTAATTTACAGATAGTTTTTAATCATGTTAGCTTAATATATAATGCAGTTTGCTACTGCTTAGAACGTGCAAAGCCAGAGAGAAGAACCATACTAATTTCATCAACCCTTCTGGGAAAACAACTGGGTGAAATCTGTAGTGTTCAATCATTGATGATCCCCTAAATCATGTGGAGGTTGCAAAAAACATGGTTAAACCACTTGAAGGGAAATAAGCTGTTCTGGATTTCCTCTACATTGTAGTGCTGGCCCCTCCCTCCCTTTCCACCCCCATTTTCTCCCTGGCTTTAGAAAAGTAAAGCTAGCAGGGACAAATGGTTTCATGTTGTTGGATAGGAGGAAAAGGACACAATGACTCTTGCAGCCATCTAAGTGAGTAAGGGATTGTGAGAGCATTGAAAGGGAGATATCAAAAAGAGCTGGATTAGCTAATGCCGAGAGAGGGAGAGAGAGAGAGAGAGAGAGAGAGAGAGAGAGACACACACACACACACACACACACACACACACACACTCCACCCCCCCAGGCAAAAGCTTTGAGCTACTCCGACAGATCCTTACATGCTCTGAAAAGAACCTCTTTGAGAATGAGGCTACAATCTTCCGGGCTTCTAACCCAGCTTTTTGCCGAACTTTATACTCCTCCAACCAATTGACGTAGTCGGTGGGGCTGTAGTGTTTCATAAGGGAAGGCCACCTACAAGGAGAAAAACACCCCACAGCTTAACAGAGACTTAGAGGCAGGCAGGCAGACAGGCAGCCGCGAATCAAAGGCAGCCTTGGAAAACAGGGAGCGCGGGATGGTTAAGCGGTCAGAGGGGCCCGGGTGATGGACCTAGTTCAAATCTCCACCTGGCGCGCATGCACTCGCTTAACGGTGCGACCTTGGTAGAGCGATAATGAATGCTGTGTCTGTCTCCACTCCCCATCTATAAAATGGGGACAGTTATAGCAATAATAGTGATGACAATGCCAGTTAACATTTACTGCGCGCATCCTAAGGGCCGGGCCCTGTGTAAATGCTCCCTAAACATCATCTCATTTAACAACCACTGTCAAAGGTAGCTCTAGTTGTCACCAAAGTCGATGAATGGGGCTCAAAAGAGGGAAGTCTACCCCCAAGGTCATACAGCGAGTGTGCCGGGGCCAGATCTCACCCCGGGTCCCTAATCTAAATCTGCGCTCTCAGCCAACAAACCAGGGGATGCTGCGCCCGCTTGCTCTAAGCGCTGTTAGGACCGCTGCATCGCGGGATCCCTGTAAACATTGTAGCACAGAGTCAGGCACAAAAGGAGCGCGCAGAAGGGATTAGCTGTGACACTCCCGTCGTCATCCCTCGGGGAGGGCCCGGCTGCTGGGCGCTCGCTTCCCGATGCGCAATCTGGGCACCGGAGGGTCCGCGCGGCGTGGACCCGAGGGGCCGGCGGCCTGGAGGCCTTTGTCTGTGGGTCCGCGGGAAGGGATCCGGGGGTGGCA